GCAGGGTTCTAAATATGACAATACCTTGTAACTGAAAAATTATATTTTCCTTTCAATCGATGCCATAGGCTTCGATATCCTAACAAGCTACCAGGTCCTTTTAACTCCTCCTACAAAATAAAAAATGATGACAATAATAATAATAATAATAGTGATCATGCTCCAATATTAATAATAATGGGGATAACACATATCTATATAACCTCAATGGCGGCCTTGATATCTTCCAAGGAGTCCCTTGTTCTCCCAGAGCCACGGCATCTTTGTATATGTATAATTCTTTGAACTTGTCGTAGGCTAAAATTATGATTCATATCAGTAAAATCCTCCATATATAAAGGAAGCATGAGATAAACTTTACCTGATTTCTTTAACAGGGGAAAGAAGGGTCCTTATTTCTTGAGTATTACAGCCAAGTCTTTTCAATTCCAAAATGATGTCACGGAAATCAGCCATTATAATAATTTAAATAACCCAACCTTAACCCTTTACTTTACTCCTTTACTCTATTATCTATGCTTAACCACACACACTAGCCACACCTATATCTACAAGATACGTGAACGGGAATGAACGTGAACGTGAATGAACGTGAACACGAATACGAACATGAACGGAAATGTCGCTGTCGGCTTCCGTATTATAGTCGACCATTCCCCAGCCTACAGTCATTTGGGTGGTCTGGCATGCGAGACTAGCAGCAAGTTTTTTTTATAGAATGGCTGCTCCCGATGAGGTATTGGACGGGGATACTGTACTTATACATAGCCCTGATACTTCAGGACTTGTATACAGCAAATCTTTTAGGTATGCAATAGATATATCATACTGAACACTGAATTCTATCATAGTTTAGTTTAATAATACAATCTACCGTTTTAGTTCTAATCAACTTGATTTCTTGAGTATTGAGTCTCAGCAGAATAGTGGTTTCATACTTGAATGTAAGTACATGTACATAGATCTAACCTGCAAAATGATTTATGCAGCACTATTAAGTGAATCACTGTCTCACATGTAAGAAGGCTTATAGGCCAAACCATGACTAAGCTAAAGATCATGTATCTGTCCAAACTTCCATAAATACCATATAGCATTTTATTTTTGAGGAGCAAAACTTTCACAGATTTATAAAAATTAATTTTCGTCGAAATAACTTTCGCGGATTTGAAATGTTAGTGCATACACCATTAACAATGATTGAATATTTAGCGGAGCATTAATTTTGTGGTTGCATGCTAATCCATAAAAGCCACAAAAGTTTTGCTCCTCAAAAATTAAGTACTATGCAGTTTACATAACTTAAATTTTGATTAAATAGCCCATGTAATTCATTTTGTTTACGATGACTCCCAGAATAATAATCATATAATTATAATCATTAATAAAACTAGAACTATAGAATATATGCGTCCATAGATAATAGTGTTGAGATCAATATCATGCATTACAAATGAAATTTATCGGTGTACATTTGTGAACCACTGATAATTTTTCTATAGTTGCTGCATTCTGCATTATTCAAAGGAAACGGAGCCAAAAACAAAGTTGTCAAAAGTAATAAAATATGACAAGCAATATAATTATTATTATGATTTATATAGTGCAACATCTCAACTAATGGAAATTGTTTATGGCAGCACAATTAAAGTTAGTCATATTTTACTCAGTCTGCATGTATTGTATCCATAATTATAGTTGCAACATTCATTTTCTCGTAAATATTTAACTGTTGTTTTGATGGAAAATAAGGTAAGTCAGATAAATTTTGTAGGACATTGATATAATTTATCCAGCAAATACTGTGCCTTAAAAAAGAAGATGACGAAAACAATAACTTGTTTAAAATAGTTCCTTTTCATCAAGAAAAGGGATGGGGTGAATCTGTAAGTTATTTTGCTCTGCATTATGTTAATCTATTACAATAGCTAAAAGTGGATGACAGGTTCAAACTTGAGAGCATGAGTTGCAAAGGTCAAAAAATAAAATTTCAACATAAGCCTGATGAGAAATGGTAAAAGCTATGCATAATGTTGAAATTACTTTATTCTTTTGTTTATAAATCAAGTTATCGCCCAGGTTTGGATAATGATGGTACGATGTTTTATATTGAGTTCCATTGCCACAATAATAATAATGCTGAATTGGACCCTAATTGCATAAAAGTTAAACTTTTAAATGCAACTTTCATTACATTATTTGTAATAGGGAGGAAGTATAGTGACTTTAGCTAGCACTGAAGTTGATGGATATCTTTCTGCAAGGGGATCACTTTTAACATGTGAAACACCAAGAAAAATTATCAAAGAGTACAAAAGTATGATTATAATACAAAATTTGTTACTGTTTAAACTGATGTCCTAAAAGTTGGATTACGTAGATGGCAAAGAGGCTTTTTCAATACCAAACCAAATTCTGGTGACACATTCTTTCAGCTTGAAAGCATAGATGCAAAAACAAACAAAGGTTAACAGCTATGCATAAATACCTTAATGAATAGGCATTGTACTTTATAGGAAGCAACCTTCTTTCATTTGGAAAATGCCGAATTAAACACTTGGCAACACAGCAATATATTTCAGCTACAAAGGATGAAGAAGTTTGCATTACTTCATTGTTAAGAACTAATTTCATTATATCATAGATCAAGTTGGAAAGCAACGCTTCTTTAGAAAGTGTTCAGTTTGAAATTCTGACATTATCTGACAAAAAGGAAAAAGAGATTTGCTATTCAGATAAAGTTGCTCTCATGCATACTGCTACAAAAAAGTTTTTATCTTTTAATGGTTAGCTTATTTACAAATATACCAGTATATTATTGTTTTTATATTATTAATACTTTACTGTTATTAGCAATCCTAGAAGAAGGTGATCTTATTCATTGGTCTGATGTAAGTTGAATTCTCTGTTTCATACTTATTTGTTATTGTTTATTAAGCTCATTCTTAAAGAAGAAACTGCCTCATTTAAAGCAATACAGGTTTGACTGATTTGATGATTCTATAACTATTCACCAAATAAATCAGAATCATTATATATATATAATGTTTGATGAAAAAATTTGCTAAATTAAAAAATGCCAATCATAATAAATTATGTTGTAATTACTAGGTTGATGAAGTTGCTGTACAAGATGCCTATCAAATAGTTGGCATGAGTTCAGCCTTATATGAGGTTTTTGAAAAGGTTAGTTATTTCAAGAGTACATAATAAGTATATGCTCTTCATTATTTTCAAACTAACTTTAATACATGCATACCCAATGCCTATAGATGGGTACAAATGATGAAGCTCAGGCTAAAGTGGTCAAAATCATGGAAGAACTACAAGATTTGTTTTTTTCAGCTAGTAATGAAAATCCATCCAGCCTCAAAAAAATTTTTGACACACCTCAACGTAAGACAAGGCTGGCAAACATGCTAAGAACATGCCAGGTATAATAATGAACATTTGTGCTTTAAGTGGGTAAAAATTAGATGATTGACGTGATGATAGTTTTTTTAAGAGAAGAAGTGAAAAAAGATGGAAGCAATTTGTAATTGACTTGTTGTTTCTATAGTACATAAGATATTATTTCTAGAAGCCTAATTGAGAGCATTTGTTCATCATTACAACTGTATGTAGAAAATGGTAGTGAAAGATCTATGCAGTACCTTGTTAAAGAAAAAGAATTTTTAATGGACATGGTATGTAAGTTTACAGGAAATTGCTTCTGGTAGGTTTGGGATCAGTGTATTATGAAAATTTGACCCAAAAGTACATTTTGAACCAAAATAAGTGTGGAATTGATCAAATCATCTATGTGGAAATTAATTTTGTTACTTTTATATTTTATTATTTACAAAATTTTATGCCATAAAAATTTTGCCAATAGTACCTGTTTTTAGTGTGTGTGTGTGTGTTTACATGCATTACAACTGATAGGTTGGTAAATGTTCTAATGCAGATGAAGTTTTAATTACTCTATTTAACAAATACAAGTATGTTTTTGCTAGTGTCTATTTATACATAATTTTCTAACTAATTGATGAAATATGTATCATTATCATTGAATTTGCTAGGGCATTTGATCACAAAGATTGCACTACATTGATTGAAAAAATCGGCATTGAGGTAAGTCCCAAAGCTAGGACTTTGGTCAAACTTTGCTAAAAATGTCAAGGAGAAAATTTTCAATTTTAATAATTTTTTCTGATGTATATACATGTACTCATATTGTGTAGAGTTTGAATCAAATTGAATTTCCTACAAATTCTAGTGTAATTATGTGTAATTGTAATTAAAGTTTTATAATTGACCCCAGGTTTGTAACTATTGTTCAAATTAATATAGGATTCAGAAGTACTTGCATTAATGTGTACTTTGGCTTTTAATGGAAGGTCGATTGATTGGAGTCTTTATAGTATGTTTGTTATGAAATTATGTAAAATATGAGCTATTTTTTAGAAAATATCAATGAAAAATTAAAAGGAAAGGTATGTATATTGATTCTACACTTAATACTGTAACTTCTGTAGATATCAGAAGATGTTCACCAAACCCTTGAAGGCTTTGCAACAGAAGTTCAATATTTGGATAAAAATGGGACTACTACATTTACCATATGTAGCACATGTGTATGTCTCATAATTGAAGCAAGTAATAGGATAATTGAAGCAGAAAAATATTCTCAAGCACCACTCAACTATGGTCAAAGTTTAAAAAGATGTATACAAGAAATAGAAAAAGTTTGTAGTAAAATATTTATATATTCATGTTTGTGATATTGAGTAGAAAAACCAAGAATGTTTAGTTCTTGTGCAACTTATGAATGTGCTAGTTTTTCTTATTGATTATGGAGTTGTTGATAAATCAATGGAAAAAGACTTCACTAAAAGTATCATGAAATTAAGTGGTATGAACCAGTACTGGTCTAATTGTTATAACAATAATAACATCCTAAAATTAATTATAGGAAAAACAGGCCAAGGTCATCAATGTAGTGCTGCCATCATTGTGAAAATTAGAAAACTGTATGCAATAATAATAATAATAACACAACAATAAAATTACTATTAATCTAAAGGGCACTACTTTCACTCAAGTTACTTCTGCAACAAAATTTCGATGCATCTTTTAAAGTATGGGATATTTATGCTTTATTTAATCATGTACACCATGCAGGTTTTGCTGAATGATTTTTGCTACTTAAACAATACAATATCTGGTATGCAGTAATAAAACTGTTACTAACTTCATGCATGCATCATAGAGACTGATCATGATCTACCTAAGGACTCTTCAAACATTCCAATGAGTTCTATTGGCATCCAGTCTCAGCCAGATGAATGTCCTCCAAAGGAAATGGAAATGCTGTTAGCTGATAAAGAAATAACTGATAAGCAGTATGTTATGTGAATACATGCATCAATAACACTTGTTATTAATGCAATTGATATCTTTATAGGGTCATAGCCAAATTACAAGCTAGATTAAAGCAAAATTTTAATTGTTTTTCCATGTTTAATGTAAAAACTGACGAATGTCAGAAATTATGTCGCATTCTGATTGATGGTTTTGCTGATGATGATACTAAAATTAGAATAATGAGTGCAGAACTCCTTTATGGTATATTCAGTGTTGAAGAGACCATACTTTCTGAGACTGCAGAAAGGACATATTTTACATTGAATAAGGAACTATACACTGAAATGAAGCGATTGGCAACAATGACTGATGAAGATCAACTTCTTCGTAAGATGTTAAGGAGAGAGCTCACACCTGATTCTACAGATAATTTGCAAAAGGAGCTGGAAAGAATAGCTGATGTATGTGTCTTAGAAGATGGTACTCCAAATACTATTAGTCAAAATATAGGATACAGTTGTGGTAAATCATGCATAATAAAGTGTAACAATAATAATTATGCATAGGACTTTTTAATATCGTTTTGGAATGTGTTCTTGAGCAAAAAGGTCAGAAAAATTATGAAATTCTAAAAAGTTGCTTCACTCTGCTGCAAAAAATGTCTCGAAAAAACAAGAAGGTTAGCAAAAATTATTATTGCATCTCACCACTGAGTGGATGGATGCTATATGCAAGTATGGATGCAAGTATGCTTTATACTTGCTATTGCATCAAACTTGTTATTATTTAGGCTCAAAATAAACTATTTATTAGTTTTCATGACTTCCTTCAAACAAAATCAAAAGAACTGATGAGACCAATGATATGTCTGTTAAATGAAGTAAAATACTTCATTGAATGTGTGCATGAATTACATATCAATAGATCTTTTTTAAAAATCCGGATATTTGTCAAAAGTTGACTGAAGCTGATATTGATAATATTTTTAGTGCTGCTATTAGCAATATTGGTGAACACATGGAATTGACTGTCACATTACGAATCATTATTGAAGTATAATCACTAGACTATGTATTAATAACTGAATAATTTATGACTTTTAATTTTAGAGCACAAACCCAGCTCTTCCATTAAAAGAACATGTAGCAAGGCTCATACAGCATCATTCAAAAAATGGAGCTTTAAGTTTTATTCTGGAGAAGGATACACGAAAACATCTTATAGTTGATGGCTATGTATATATAGAAATTATTATTTTAAACAAAATTTTATATTTCATTTATTGTGTAGACAAAACAAATCAACAAATATCGTCTTCTCATCAATATAACTCATCTATTAGCAACATGTTGCACTGGAGAATGTCAAGTTGCAGAACAAGTAGCTATTGAAATCTACAGTATTGATGAACTCCTAGAGTAAGAATACAGTAAAAATAGAAGTTAAAATAATTGATTTTTATAGAATTATAATGGAAATACCATCAGCTGCCCCAAAAATATCTTTCATTCGTGTTTTAATTTGGACGTATTTGATTACTGAGAATGATTCTGCCTCCACTTGCTCTAGATTGGCTTCAGATGAGTAAGTTGTGATGATTTTTAAAATTACATTACTTCATAGTTGATTACAGGAATTTTTGGCACTTAATGACAGATTTAAATGATTATATTGAGGAATCAATACGAAGAATAGAAAACAGTAGTGAAAAAGAAAAAATAAAAGTTTTGAGAAAAGAAGATCTCCCTATTTGTATTTTAACAATGGATGAAAAAACTGAATTGGCAAAAATTACTAAACGTTTATTATATATCATTGAGGGTGTGATTCCTTTACTATCTGGACTATGTCAAGAGTTGTCTCTTCATATACCAGTAACTGAATTTCTACAATTAGATTCAAAGAAAGCTCAGGTTGCAAAAAATCTCATCACTAAGCTAATGGTAGAGTTATCACATTGCATTGTATGATACTTTTATTATTATTTTGATAGTATTTTTATGATCAAGAAGTTGGCTCTGTGTTAGAGCAGATGCAAGAGATGGAGTGCATAAAAAATTTTAATTCACTCTGTGACCTGTATAGATCCAGTGAACTTAATTCAATAAAAGAACCAGAAGTAAAAATTTTTATTGCATGTTTTGTGATGATGCTAGTTAAATTAGAGACAGTCACTCAGTTACCTTTTATCAAAAAAAGATGAAGACTTTTTGAATCAACAATTTCAAACATTTATTGAAAATTATGCTAAGGCTTATGGTCAGTAAATATTATTTCTAGCGTGTTATCATATTGTCATATTGTCATATTTAGAAAACATGGAGAACCTGCCCACTTCAGGGGGACAAAAATTCAATGAGCTTCTTAAATTTTTTACTGATGAAGATTATAACAGGTATAGACTGTCATAATCTCATTAACAAGTGCTCTTTATAAATTTATCAATGTTAGAGGAGATATGCAATCACTAAAAGTCTACAAGCTTGTTCTAGTGCTTCGGTATTTACTTTTTTGGCATTACATGTAAGTTTTGTATTTTACATGCACAGAACTCTGATAGAAAGACAAAAAGAACTTGGTCTTCACTGCTTTGAAAGAACAAATTTGGAGAAAATGACATTAACTACTCTGCGACTGCTACATGGAATTGTTCATAAGAAAATTCTTGAAATAGAATCAAAAAAGGACTCTTTAAAGCCTCCTGAACTTCAAAAGTAAAACTATTATGATGAATATAATTATGCATGTGTTGTACAACATCAGGGAATATGAAAATCACATAAAGCCTATTCAAACCATACTTCTTGATGAAAGAGCTGATTTTATTAAAACAGTGAGTAGATCTACTTGAAAATATTTGTAAACATGGGTCTTGATTCCCAATTAACTTTATATAGTTGTTTGAGTTGCTACATCATTCAAATGATGACATTACTTATCAAGTATTAGCTTGCCTTGATGTTTTGCTGTATCTTGGAAATGAAGAAGCTCAAAAGAGGATTTCAGATATTAATGAGGAACAGGATCAAAGTCTTATTATGCAAGTGCAAAAGATACTAAGAAGAGCTCAAATTAACCTCAACAAAGCCAAGTATATAAAATCAATGATAAGTATGACACTTTTTGCTATACATAATAGAATGCAAGGAATGAGTACACAAGAGGAGTCTTCATCATTAAAAGTGATAAATTTGTGATAAAATTATTACTTAAATACTTTATTATGCACTATTACATAAAGGGCAATAAAAGAAGTATTGAAGTCGATGAAAGGATTACAGTAGCATTAGATGTTCTAGTGTGGATATGTGATGGTCAGCAGAAAGATATGCAAGATGCATTGAGTAATCGTGAAAAATTAAATGTAAGTTAGTATATTAAATTATTGGGTGAACCTATGCATACATCAATCATAGGGCACTGACATTGTTAGTCAAGTTTCCTTTTTACTTCTTGGGGTAGTTGAGAGTTTCACTGCTGAAAGTCTCAAAATAGCACAAAGAGCAGTACAGGCACTGATAGAAATGTGTGCTGGAAATTACAAAAATCAGGAGATTGCTATCAAAGGTCAAGTTATTATTTCAATAAATTCCATTTTAGAAAAGGAATCCTCTATTAGCCAAGTAAATTTTTACTGTTTGTTAATTTATTTGATCTGTAAAATAGGCAAAAATTAATTTCCCGAGTTTTTTGGCTTTAAAGCTATCTAGTTTGGAGTTGTTAAATGTAATGCTTGAAGAAATTGATGAACAGTCATCAAAGCTAGCAACCTGGATAATGCAGCAATTAAGCCTGTCTAATTTGCTAAATGGAATGTTGAAATCATGGGATTATTACTTAACATGCAGAACTGCCAAAAGATACTTTTGTTCTGAGACACCATTGGAACGACAAACAAAAAATAGCTTACTCCTAGCTTATCATACTCTCAGACGTATTTCAGATTATGAAGGCATATGTGTTGACAAATTAGGTGATTCATAACTTAATCAATCACATAATGTATGCTTTAATTTTTAGTGATGGATGATGAAAAAAACTGGCTGTATATAACAAATCTAGATTCAAAAGCAGAGAAAATGTGGCAGCACTGTAAAAGTTGGTCCAAGAGCATTGAAGTTTTCTACAGAACACAAAATGATACTGCTATACTGACTCGGGTCTTCTTTCCATACAATCCTCATGTAAGCTCTACATGTACATTGATTAAGCATTGCTTATTTTTGCTTGATTATTATAGAAGCATTTAAATGAAAAAATAAAAGATACTCTTTTAAACAACATCAAGAGAGACACACCACAAGAGAAGCTGGTTGATCTACTTGAATGGACTAAACAAATCAAATTAATCAAAGAACAAAAGGTATCAAAATATAATTAGAATAATTTTAATGGTTATATTACAGAAAAAATTGAAAAAATCGCCCAAAAGAATAATAATTTCATTTTCGTAAGAAAAGGTCCAATATTATTCAATCAATTTATATTCCATTCCTTTTAGTACAATTAGACATTATGCATTGCTTTGGCTAACGATAGTCCTAAATCTCATTGTTATTTTTAGTCTGAGATCTCCAATGAAATCAAGGTAAGTTTTAATTTGCATTTCTGTAGCCATTGTCACTATTATTTAAATATTTTAGTAATAATGATCAATTTTGCAGTAATGTATTGAATGAAACATGTAACAGTACTAGTCCAATGTATTTCCAGCCCATATGGCCTCCAGATGCACCATCATGGTATATGCCAGTCCGCTATATTCTTGGTTCAATTCATCTCCTACTGTCAATATGGATGGCTGTTTGCTACTTTGTTAAGAATGGAAAGAACATTTGTTGGTTTTCAATTCCTTGTATTCAAAGTTTCTGGTAAGTTGAAGTATTTTTTATATATAATAATAATAATAATTACTATATACTGTAGTTATAAAAAGAAGAAAGGATTATTGCGTAGAAGGTTTCTGTATCAAATAACGAGTAAACTAAATCAAACAGTCTGTTGTGGAAAGATCTCAGCTAATAAACCTCACCCAAAGGAGTATTTTCAGATACTTCTTTTTAGCTTTGATCCACTTTATCGTCTTTTATTTCTGATTCTCTCAATAGCTGGAGTAGCATTAAATGGATATTTCTACTGTGGTTGCATGATTTACCCATTCATAAAAAGCAGTGTCCTGTCTTCTATTCTTCGAGCTCTCAGAAAAAGCGGTATGCCTTAATCATAATTGTTTCATGAGAATATTATAATTATTATAATTCTTTAGCTTATCAGTTAATAATTGTTCTCTTACTGTGCTTTGTTTGCATTTACATTTATGCTGTCATAAGTTTTGCTCTTCTTCAAAACTATTTTTCTGAAGAAAAGGATGAGTTTTGCTCTACCCTGTTTCAGTGTTTTGTAACTGTGTCACGTTTAGGGCTACTGCATACACTTGGATCGGTATGTATCATGAATCAGTATTAACAACTTTTTAAAATTTTATATAGGGATTAGAAATACGTCCATCAGATGCATATGAGCCAAATTTTACACTTGTCTTATATCGAACTGTATATGACATAATATTTTTTGTTGTAGTCACAACACTGGGACTGAACATAGTTATTGCTATACTAGTTGATAGGTTCTCAGAGATGAGAGAAGAAAAGGTTACTTCACTGATGTGATGGCTCATGTTCATAAAATTTAACTATTTTAGGAAAAAATTGACAATGACAATACAAATAGGTGCCTTGTTTGTAGCATTAAAAAAGACAATTTTAAAAGAAATGGCCAGGTGAACTAAAAATTTTTTCATTTTTGTATTAAACAATTTTATAGAATTTTGAAGACCATAACACTAAAGAACATAATGTATGGGACTACATTCATTTTATGCTTTATCTGGATGAAATTTACAAGAATGATTTCAATGCTCTTGAAAAATATGTTTCACGTCAAGTATGTGTCATTTCAACTTAAATTTATTAAATATGATATAGGTAGCAAAGGATTCTATTGATTTTTTTCCTATGTTAAAGGCAAAATCTCTACCTGACTATAAGAATGAAGAATAGCCTTTTGATTTTCTTTAAACTGTAGTGAACATAGCTTTAGCAACATAATTAATACATTTAGGTAGTAAAGCTGCAAAACATGTAGACTAGAGTTATAGTTTTATTTTTAATTTTAATTTGGGCTGGTCCCAGCTGTCAGTTTTAGCTACAAAATAATTAACATTTTTTAATAACAAAAAATGCTCAGCTGACAATGAACTGAATAAATGTCTTACAAAAGCTGAAGCGAGCACTGACCTTGAATGGCTTTGATTATAATAATAACTAATTTAAGCAAGTAAATAATATTATTGAAAGTTAAAGTAGCACTGTTGCTACAGAGCATTGAGTTCATTTATTTGACAAATATATCATAGAAAAAGAAAGGAGTGTCCTTCTTATCAGTGCCACCAGTTCCACACAGCCTGAACTCAATGTCCTCATCAGTGGTACCATCACTGAGCACTTTATTGAACCAAGGGAGACCTTTATGAACACAGCAGGGCCTCTCAACAACGCCACAGTGAATGCCATTCCAGAGCCTATCAGGAAACATCTTAGTGTAGTATTTCTGATGCCATGCTGTATGCAGCCCAGACTCACAAAAGTAACTACTACCAATGAACGAAGGGACTTTTTGGGTGCTACCTTTGGAACAGGGACAATTCAGTTTAGCATATTTTGCTTGAATGGCACTGAAACTAGACATGAAAGTCCAGATATGTTTACGAGGAGATCCGTGTGTAAGGCTAATCCCATCAACATAGGGACCATTGATTGTTGTAGCTCCATTGCTAAGAGCAGAAGTGTGTCCTAACTGATATCCAAACACCTTTCCACACACTCGCTGATAATCAAACCCAACTGGGAAATTCAGTGACTGACAGCTGGAGGTTTTGGTGTTCATTCGACCGCAAGCCTTGAACTGTCCATGCTTATGAAATTTAAAGCCTTTTGGACAGGTATTGGCTCTCACTGCATTGAAATGAGCAATCTTAGTCCAACCACCATGAACGCCACAGAGCCTACCCATGAAGCAATAAACCTTCCTTACTTTTCCTGTTTTCGTTTGAATATGATAATATCCAGATCGCTTTGTAGGGTGCTTCTTCTTGATTTCGTTACAAGAAGATGGAAAAGCTGGAGTAGCAGTTGGGGAAGCTGTAGGTCTAGGGACAGAAGAAGTAACAGGTGGATTATTAGGAGGTCCTCTAGTAGTGGATGCTGCAGTAGTAGGACTTGGTGCAGCAGTGGTAGATGGAGCAACGGTTGCAGATTTACTGGATGAAGCAGGAGGAGGTCCTGCAGTGTTACAGCTTTCCATATCGTCCAGTGTCTGGACACAATTTTGGAGCATTTCCAGTAGATCCTTCGTTATCTTGACGCCACACCTGCAACCATGATTTGAAGATATCACCATATACACAGAGGCATCATTCTTCATCGATTGAATGAGGCCATTACATCCTGTAGAAGTTTCCATTTTAATGGCATCAACGCACCTGTCTATAGAAGCAATGATGTCTTTATTCAGCTTATCCCTGCAGTGGCAGCCACCATGGTTATGGTGAGCAAGTCCTTGAACATCATTGCCTAGAGTTATACCAGACAAACAAGCAGCAATAAAGACAAGGGAGCACAAGAAAGAGAGCATTGCTAACAGGCTACTAGCTACAAATGACAACTAGAGCAACAATCATATAATTATAAAAGAAAGCCAAAATTTGTAATTGCATATTGAGAAGTTGGTGTAAAAAACAGAATTGCCAAGCCTTCTAATAGAACAAAACATCTTTTCAGTTTATACGTGTGATTTGCGAAAAAAGAATATCAACTAAAACAAAATAAATATTTCTCAATATTGATCATGTGCATGACGTATGGCATCATGTGTAATTATATATATAATAATCATCAGAATAGCATATAAAGTATAATAATGGTTACAACATAGAGTCACTCTGAAGTACAGACTCATATCTCCTCAGTGGGGCCAAGGCCTCGCACTGCAACGATTTCTTATAGCAATCGACAGCTGTTTCATGCTCTCCTTGAGATGAGAGGACTTTCCCAAGCCAGTACCAAGTCTCGTGGTTCTGTCTGTCGACTGCTAGAGAGTCACGGAGACTCTTTTCAGCTAGACCTTGTTTCCCTGTCAGATGCAACAGTCTCCCTATACAAGTTAAGGCTGTCGTGTCGTATGGTTTGAGGACCAATGCATTGTTGTACTGATCTAATGCTAATTGGTGTTGCTTCTGTGCTTCCAAGACATTACCATTAGTGATGGAAACAATAGGGATATATGGAGCTAATGATTGAGCCTAAAAATGAGAACAGAAAAATGTTTTATTCTAAAGTGATAATTAAATGTATTTTCCTTACTTCATGAACACAGCGAGAGGCATCAGAATATCGCTCGCTCCTAAGGAAAACCTCAGCAATAGTACACCAAGCTTGACAGGCAACTAGTGCTACTGGATTCAATGAAGCTGGCGATGTAGATATACTAAAATGAGATGAGCCAGCATCAGATGCAATCTCTGGACTCATAGTAAAGTTGACTTCTTCTCGCTCAACGTTCTTTAGCTGGAAATCTGACAGAGAGGCTTGATCAGCTACTCCACCTTCACCCAAAAGCTCACTCTCGCTATAAAGGCTCTGGCATATTTTTAGCAACTTCTTGCAAGACTGAAGAGCAGTTTGGGGGCCATGAACGATTGTCTGTAAAAATACTTTAGTCTTGAGTAAGCTAATGTTGTTAGGGTCCTGGGCTAGTGCTAGCTCGCATATCTTTAATGCTTCGCTGTATTGCTTTTTAGCAGTGAGGAGGAGGAGGAGCAAGTGAAGGCAGCCTGGGTGATCGTGTGATAGAGTGAGGGCATAATTAACACGCTCCATGGCAGTTGGAACATCACGAGAAACTGCTAGTTGTACCGAATAACGGAAAACATATTGGACATTAGCAGGATCAAGACTGGCAGCTTTCTCAAACGAGACCAGAGACTCCTTACGTAACTGCTGTCTCTTAAGAAAAGTAATCTCGTTATCGGAAACAGTAGCTTGGGCCTCACCCAGTGTGTAATACAATGCTGGCTCAAGGTAATGGCCTGCAAATGACCTGAGTCTTCTCTGCAGCCACTGGATGCTCAGCTCAGGCTTTTTACATGTTTCTAATACAAATTTTGAAGCTGTGAGGATGACATGTGGATCTGTGGGTGATAGCCGGACACATTCATAAAAGACGGCCTCTGCTTGTTGATATAGTTTATTATTAACTAAGGAGAGGGCAAACTGAAGCCAGAGATGATTTCCAGCTGAAGTAAACACCATACTCTCCTCTAACGTCTGAACGAGGAGACCAGGGAGTCGTGCATCGACAAATGCTAAGGTTAATATGTCAAAGATGGCCGAAGCATCTTCTATCTTTGTATCCTCTAATGATCCAAGGAAAGACTTGGCTATATTAGCGACAAGGAGTGTCTCTTCCTCGAGCTGTTGGGGTGAGAATACATTCAAAGAGAAAGTAATGGGAGAGTAGGACCGAGCAGAGACGAGGAAGAGTAGGCAGACTGTGATACTCGTTACGCAAATGTGTCTGACTTGTGTCTGTATAAACTCTTCTTTGATCATGAGTACGCGTCTAAAGAACCCAACAGCTCTCAAAGGGTTCTCAGTCTTCATGCATAGCAAAGGACCTCTCTGTAGCACAGTGCGTATGGCACTGAATACGGCAGGATGGAGATTAAGGTTTGAGGTTTTTGATAGTTGCGTTATTTCGAGTGCTAATCGCAGGCACTCCTCATAAGCAACAATAGCTTGACCGTACTTCTCCTTATCGTTACTGTGTAATGTCTCAATACATAAACCAGTGTAGAGGCTACACTCCATAAAGACCTTGCTTGTGTGGAGTGGAGCATTGTCAACCCTAGCTGAGTTGATCTGGGGAAATAAGGATAGAGAGAGTCTCCTTTCATCTCTCATCCAAGCCACTTGTCCTTGTTTTATTTTTATCAGGGTTTGCACGAGGTTGCTGTCTTCACTGGAGGAGGAGGCGTCCAGTGACTCTTTCAACAGCTTCTCTACCTCTCCCAGTGTTTGGGAATGGACATCTCTAGTTCCTGTAGTCACAATGTTCTCTAATTTTTCGATGGCTTTGAGAAATGATAAAACAGCGGGAGGGACTGGTTTCTTCTTTGATATCTTCTTTAGTCCGTTCTGTACCTCGCTCCACTTACACTCGTATATCGGTCTGTCCAGTTCCTCTAGAATTGTTGATAAAGATTTGCTCTTCTTCTTAGCACCGGTCGCCATCTTGAAAGGAACTGCTAGACCACGCCCTATAAAACTTAGCCCATCCCACTAATCTGTAATTAAAATAATTTTTAATTTATTTACCTCAATGTTTACATTCACCTAGTTATTGTTCATTTTTGTATTGTTATAATAATAATTATTATTATTCCAGTACAAAATGCAATAATAGCACATTGATTGTAAGTTCTATTTGATACACTGCACAAACACAAATAATGAAAAAGAAAAAAATAAAATCTCCACATACCACTCCAAAAACATACAACGACTATAATATATATTATAAGGGCAATTTGAGTTACTATACAAATGCTGGGCTAGGTGTCAGTTTCAATTTTCACAGCTTTAGTAAGAATTTCAACCCATCTAAAATATTGATGATATAAAAGCAAGAAAATGATTCATTCTTTATACCTATCGAGCTGCTCCTTGTCTTCAGTTTTAAACTGTATTCTACCAGCTCCAGTGTGCTGGAGACAGAATACTAGTGGATCAGAAATGGCCTGCATTAAAAGAGGAGAGTAGAGTCTATTTCTATGACAAAACTTACAGCTGGCACAACTGTATAGCCAGGCAAAGGAACACTTCTCTGAGCAGAAACATCCTTAAGGAATAAAATAATAATCATGACCATTTTCCTTCCCCTCTCTCTCTCCTTTTCTTGTTCTCTCTCTGTTTCTCCTCTTACCTCGTGTCTTTTAAACTGATAAATTACCATGTCATACACTACAAACCACTTCCTCTTCCAGCTTCTTGACTTCTCGTCTCTGTAGAACAAGTATCCACTTATCTGAGCACTTTCATCTCTTGCCCTCACCTTTGAAAAGAAAAGACAAGAAAAGAAAAAAATAAAGAGAGATGAACATGGGAAAGTATATGGAAGAATAAAAAATTGTAATAAAATAGCAACACGTAACTATCAATAAGAATTAATAACTCACTTCTCTTAGTACGGATGGTAAGCTGATTTTCTTCTGTGACTGTCTTAAAGATCGTCTCTTTCCTACCGGTTTTAGGTCAGTGACATCATCAGTGGTTTCAGAGAGTGTGTTGTAGCAAGTCTGACAGACTCGACTCATTTTATTGTTCTTGTAAGGAAGGGGAACCATATAGCTTGAACATTCACCACAGAATATCTACAAAAATAGATTAAAAAATACAATTAATGGGGATTAAACCTACATGTACATGTACTCTTGACAATAAATAATTAAAAACTGTCATTTATTTATAATAAATAAATAATTCCCCTTACCATGCCACATGCTCTGCAGTGGTGTCTCCTTCTAGTGACAGTAAAGTGAATGCTACAGAGTTGACACATGCTAACAGAGCTGTCAGGAAGCCATGGTGGGGCTAACGAGCCTAGATCTTTACTGTCAGTCACACCTCCATCAGTACATTCCTGCGTACACATACATGTATGTAAATCTAAATGCAGTAGCAGTACACTGTATCTCCATCTCTACTTCTCTGTTCTTTATTGTTGAATAGTCTCTCCCTCCCTCCCTCCCTCCCTCCCTCCTCCCTACCTCCCTCCCTCCCTCCCTCCCTCCCTCCCTCTCTCTCTCTCTCTCTCTCTCCCTCCCTCCCTCCCTCCCTCCCTCCCTCCCTCTCTCTCTCTCTCTCTCTCTTTCCCTTACCACTAGTACACTGGTTCTATTTATCTGTCTACTCCTAACTCTTTGAGTGTGATCTTTAATGGCTGATTCAAATGCCTAAATGTAAGACAATGCATTATACATCAGATTTACCTGCACACGCACTTACAATGTATGCTGCGTTTTTTTAATCAAAAACCTGGTCAAAGTCCCTGTACTGTAGTACATGGTCTCGGGCCAAATTTCGCCAAATTTGAAAAGGAGAGAATTCTCCATTTTTATATTTTTTCCTGATACATATACATCTTCTTATGCTGTGTAGAAAGTTTGAGCTGATTCCGATCAAAATTGGATTTTTTTACGAATTTTCAAAATTACTCCAAAATTGAGCCAAAGTCCCTGTACTATAGTACATTGTAGGAGGGAACTGAGCCCTTAAATAAACATTTTTTTACAAAATAGATATAACACAGGGATAAATAGTAGGTTAAAAAAAGAGATAATAATAATGGTACTATAGTACATGGTCTCGGGCCAAATTTCGCCAAATTTAAAAAGGAGAGAATTCTCCATTTTTATATTTTTTCCTGATGCATATACATCTTCTTATGCTATGTAGAAAGTTTGAGTTGATTCCAAACAAAACTGGATTTTTTATGAATTTTTGAAGTTCCTCCAATAGCTATATGCTATCATAAGGCTTGTCGGCTCATAAAACATGCTTTTTATCTCACTTAGCATGCTTTGTGGGATCCCCGCTTTCATGTACAATGTACATGTACATGATATAAATACATGTACATACCTGTAGCCATTGGTTTCTCTCTTCACTGGAAGCAGCATCAAGTCTGAATGACTTACAAGTTGATATAATTTGAAACCCGTTCTTTAACTCGGGGTCATCCAACAATTGAACCTAACAGGAAGAGAATGAATACTGAAAGTGATGGCAGTCGAATAAACATACTCTCATTCCATCAAGAGGGATTCTCTTTATAACTCTGTATGTATTATTGGCAGGTGGAATAGCTGATGCGTATATGAGGAGGTCAGTAAACTAAAGAAGGGCTAAAATAATTTATAATAAGATAATCTTTAATTTACCAAGAAGAACATTCTCGGCTGCTTCTCCTTCCTAGAGCTCTTGACCAGCTCTCCTTCTTTTAACAATTTCTATAAATTAATAAAAATACATGTATATCACGCACATGTAATCATGTACATGTACATGTACATTTTACATGTACATAAGATGCACAAATACACTACATGTACATTATTAAAATTAATCATTACATCTCTTACCCTGTGTGGCGAAAGAAGCGAATCCCCCACATCTCCAATCAACCTCTTACTGACTTCAACGGTCTTTCTGAAATTATCCATTTGCCTTATTGTTTCATTGACATGTGTAGCCACTGATGATATTATGCTTAGTGCCTCTGGAGTGAAGAGAAGAGAAATTTTAAATTTATATGGATAAAGAAAGAATAGGGAGGAAAAAGAGAAGGAAATGAATGCAAGGAGGAAATTACTTTCACTGTCTTCCCTATCAGCTGAATCTTGCTCCAAATGTTTGATATAATCTTAAATAACAAAAATAGAAAGAAAGAGAGGGAAAGAGAGAGAGAGAGAGAGAGAGAGAGGGTAGGGGAAGGAGAAAGTAAATGTTACACATGATTTCACAATCAGAGTACACACAGGCTTCATTTCCCATTGCTACATCTACCTGCACCTACCACAGATATCTGGCAGCCAAGAAATCCTGCCAAACCATTAACCCAAACCACTAAATACACAACAATTTAACTCACATGTACATGTACATGTAAATGTACATGGATCTGAGCCCTAATTCTCATTTCTCTCTCTCTCTCTCTCTCCCTTACCAGCTAATAATAGCTTATATCTTGGTATCCTTTGAACAGTCTCCAGTAGATAGGCAGCCACTGTGAGGTTGGAACACATTGGCTCTAACTCAAACTCTTTGATGACTTGAGAGAAAAGGGAATTCTTTTTCTGCTGTTCCTCCAGAGTCTTGAGAGCTGTATCAAAGTTACTGATGTACTGAGAGTACATCTGACAGGGGAAGAGAGAGACAGAGACAGAGAGAGAGACAGAGACAGAGAGAGAGGGAGGGAGGGAGGGAGAGAGAGAGAGGAGGAGGAGAAGAGGGAAGAGATATTCACATGTTAACAATTCCCTCTTGATGTCAAAGCATCATTAATTATAGCTGGTACGTGTGAATTACCTTCAAATAAGGAGCTCTTTTAACAAAAATGTCGCCTAATCTTGGCTCAGTGTCCCTAAGAGAAAAAAACACAACTTAAGCAACACAGTTTAGTGTCCACATACAAAAACCAAGAGATAGAGGATAGATACATTACATATACTAGTATTACAGCACACATTTAGGAAGGCTATCAGTACCATATTATTATTATCATTATCACGAGGAATTTGACTACACGAAATCCATAGTAAAAGCAATTAGCAAGAAGCTGTTGTTATGAAAAACATGCACCATGTATGCAGGCAGCAAGAATAACAAGAAAACAGCTAGAGTTATAGCAGATGACATACCAGGCAGACATCCTTGCCTCTAGCTCTTTGAGGAGCTCAGAGTTGAGGAGATAGAGGCTCCCAATATTTGAGAGTATTTGAGAGAGAATCTCTTCCGTTACGACGGGTTTCTCGTGAGCGTTGTTGGCGGATACCATGTGCTGGCGGAAATCTACATGGAGGAGTTTCAGACCCTTCACAAATCTAATAATACCAGACCCGGGAAGAGGGGGATAAAATATTGTAACATCAACAATAGAGAAGGAATTAGACTTACGTTCTTTCCGTAGTCAATATCTCACGGGCTATGTAATAAATCTTTGGTTTTACCTCCTAAATAAAAAATAATAATAAATACATTACTATTTAGTATAACAGATCAGGTAGACAATATACATGTAGATGTATATATGCATTTACAAGTAAAATTCAAGCAAAAAACATATAGAAAAACACAATAGCTTTACCTTTTGCTCTTTCTTGTCCTCCTCTTCTTCAGAGGAGGCATCCCAATCACTGCTAACATCACTCTCATCATCAGCAGCATCCATTGGACTAGAGTATATTGTACTGGAACTAGCACTAGGACTCATTAAAGGGCCACTGGCATCAGGAGGACCACCAGCCTACAGGGAGAGAGAGAGAGAGAGAGAGAGAGTAGCTCCAGTCTACACTGTATGCTTAAGCTGCCTATATAAACACACCCACTAGTTATTAAGTAATTGCTCCACCCACTAATTATTAAAAAGTAACTACTTAACTGACCACAATACTACACTGACAAACAATATACAGGTACATGTACATGTATGTATGGTTAGTTTGTATTGGAGCAATGTACTCTACAAAACACAATCTTTCAATGTTTGTGGTTTATGCATGAGGCAGAACTCCATAGTATATTCTATTGTATTGGTGTGTTGTCCTACTGTACCTCAATGAAACTGGTAGTCCTTCTATCACTGAAGAGGAACTGATGCATGGAACCATCTACACTGTATTTACCGTGACGTACAGGAGACTAGAGAAAGAGGGGGGGAGGGAGAGGGGGAGGGAGAGAGAGGGGGAGGGAGAGGGTGTAGTGTAGTGAACGTTTCAAAATGAAACTGATTTTTAGTAAACTACTATCACAAACAAACGTGTAAAAAACAAAATAACATGTATGTGTACAAATACTCGTGTAGTGCACGTTCAAATACATGTACACATATCACAGAACACATTGTAAATACATGTACATGTACACATACATGTATCACAGAATACATTGAAAATACATGTACATGTACATGATGACTTACAATAGCAGCAGTGCTGCTTAACTTGCTATCGTCTTTAGACTTTTTAGAGAAAGGAGGAGGAGGGGCAGGACGGTCCTTTGGTTTCAACTCTCTCAACTTGTGAGGAGGGGGGAGAGTCTTTGAAAGAACCACTCGTTTAGTGGGCGTGGTAGATAATGAATTAGTAGCTGGGGAAGCTAGGGAAGCAATGGGCGGGGCAGCAAAGCTGGGCGGAGTAGAGGAAGGAAAAGAACTCGAGAGATTTGGAGAGCAAGAGGAAGAGAAAGGAGAGTGAGAGGCCAGCTCATCAAAATCAATCTGTTCGTAATCGTGCCTAGCTCTTTTCATGATATCTATAGATGCTGTCATGTGCGGTTTGATTAAAGAGGGTGTGGGGGTTAAATTATCAGTACTGCTATCGTCAGGTCTAGAGGATCCATTATTATTAGGAGGAGGAGGGGGAGGAGTATGGGAAGGTGGAGGTAATTTCTTTTTTAACAAGTGACTGTATTTATTAGCGGCTTGAGTGGTTACCGTGGTAACCTCCGTATCACTAGGTGGAGTCACAATTTTTGGCACGTTTGCTTCGTTAGGTGTGGTCACGGCATGAGGACTCTCCGGTGACGAATTTTGAGAATAAGGAGCAGGAACAGGTGGAGGGGCTCTCTTATTAGCCTTGGGAGGAGAGACGTCAGTTTTAGTTGGTTCAACTCTGGGACCATTTTTACTCACTACAGCATAAACGTGTCCATTAAAAGGTGGGACTGGAGGAGGAGGAGAATCCAATTTATCAATTTCGTCGTGAAGAGCCTCGTTTTGATCTGCTTTGTCTTCATCTTCTGCATATTCTTCTTCCTCCTCTCTCTCCTCCTCCTCTTTCACTTCTTCTTTTCTTTTATTTTTTAATGTTTTATCTACCGATGCGTATATATGCGAGCTAAGATCATCGATGTCCTCGGGTATTGATGGAGACTTAACAAGAGGAGATGGTGATCTCTTCTTGGCGCTCCCATCCCCTCCTATACCTCCTGCCATGTCGTAGAGGTGTTCCACAGAGCGTGAGCGACGCATTTCGGAGGATTTGTTACCTTTTTTATTTCTCAGTGAGACAGAGTTGATGTCAATTACAGTATAAGCGAAACTCTGTGGGATATCACCTTCATCATCATCATCATCATCTTTATCCTGGGGAAAGAGAGAGAGAAATGTTATAGTAATAAAATAATAAAACAAATATTCCAGTCATTATTTCAAATATTTTTACTAATCTCTCTCTCTTACATCTGTTTCTATGGTAACATAAGAATAAGCCGATATCACACCACTGCTTTCCATATAAGGGTCTATGCTCCTCCCCCTTGGTCTTGCAGGTGCCGGTAGTGTCTTTGATGATCCAGTACCCAGATTCTCTGTTGGGCTGGTAATGACAACATCAGTCTTCCCTTTTCCTTTACGAAACGAGCCTCGTCCACTAAAAGAATCATCTTTCGAACCCCCGCGAAAAAAAGTTCTAAATTTCGATTTGATCCCGGGTGAGGGCGTGGCCGGGCTCTGCTTCTTGATGTCCTTATTTGGTAGCTTGTTTTCGCCAGTTGATAACTCAATATCAGGGTCACTTCTCGGCAGACGTCCTAGTGTCAGGTTTTTCCTGTCATTGACCTGTACAGGTCTGTGAGTGACTGGGGGAGAGCCTTTCGGTACTGGAGGGGGCGGGGCCTTCCTTCTGGGTGGGTCTTTCGGTTTTTTCACTCCAACTCCATCCTCATCTTCAATGGGGTCACCAAGCGAGTTTGATCGCTGCTTTGTCTTGAATTCCATCACGTCATCGTAAATATGAGAAGGAGGTGGTCGTGCTCTTGTAGGTGTGGGTAGGGTGGCTCCTTTCTTGTGTGGGGGCGTGGTCGGATGCCCCACCTCTTTTTTAACCTCAGCAGATCGCAAGGTGATGGCATCAATATCAATCTCACTAAAATTAATTGATTTTTCCTCGGCTGGTTTCGATTCCGAATTTTGTTTCGAAAAAAAGGTATCTGTTACAGGTGCAGGGCTTAAACGGGACGGACTCTTGGGATGCAGTGGAGGAGGTCTGCTGGCAGGAACTGGAGGCTTACGACGAGGACCAGGGGATTCATTCTTCAACCCCTCCGTCCCACCTCTAGGGGCAGGGCTAGCTGACCGAGGGTGAGGGGGAGGAGGGGGAGTTCCCCTTCCCATGGGACTACCCGATGCACCCCTTGAAGAGGCGGAGCTGCCAAGAGGTGTTGGCTTAGGAGGAGGTGGTGGCTTGGGCGAGGAAGATCTCGACTTATTTGGTTCCGATGGTTTTAAAGGTGGGCGTGGCGACCTTTCCTTGCCGGCCCTCCCTCTCTCCCCTAGTGAAGGTGATAATGACTCGTCAATAGAGTCGTATAAACGATCATTAGGAAGAGGAGGAGGAGGAGGAGAAACTGTTTGTAAGAGCGAGTAATCGTGCCCAGGATCTATCTGTACATCAGGTGGTTTCGATACATGCGTAGTTACGTCATAAGGATCAGGGTCATCATCAAAATTACCAGCTCCATCTTTCATGAGCTCAGAAGGTATGGGTGGCCTCAATAAAGTTTTAAGAGTCACTTCGCTGTAGCTACTCCCGGGGACTTGTCTCTCTTGGCTTATGACCATAGCCTTTTCCTTAAGCTCTAGAGGGGGAGGGAGGAGAGGAGGAGAGAAACGAAGAGGAGAGAGAGCGCGAAGAGTAGGAGAGGAAGGAGGAGAAGGAACAGGGGGAGGGGAGGAAGGAGGAGGAGTAGTAGGGGTGGGCAGTCTTGGTCTCTCTAAGTCTGGGGTCAACATTTTCGGTCTGTGATCAATCCTAGCAATAATACTAGGACTAATACCACCTGCAGACACACCCCCATCATCTAAGGGTGGAGCATCATTACTGGGGCTCACGTGATTCGTGTGATTATCTTTTGAAGGTGTGGCCTCTTTCGGTACAGTATTTGAGGATTTTTTACGATCGGGTCTCGAAGGATAAGGCTTTGGAGGAGGGGGAGGTCTTCTGGCTGGTCTGGGAGGAGTAGATACTTTAGAAGTGACAGGAGTAGAAGTAGAAGAAGCAAGAGACATGATTGCTGGCTTAGGAGGTACAGCACCAGCTGAAACACAGCGTCTAGCAAGGACCCTTGGGGAGAAAGGGGGAGGGAGAAAAAAGAGGAAAGAAGAGTTAAAAATGATAAGAGGAAAGGATGATTGAATTATGACTCATTACAATTAATGTACATGTGTGTTATTTACTTTTTTGATGAAGAATTAGGTGGTGGACCAGTTCCTACATTAGAAACACAATAACAACATGTACACTACATACCAAACAATGTTAATTAACACAAATAGACACACTGTCTCTCTGTGTCTTACCTTTTAAACCACCTTTTGTATTGTACTTGAATACTGAAGAGAAAGAGAGAGAGAGACAGAGACGGAGAGAGAGAGACAGAGACAGAAAGGAGAAAATAACATAAAACACATGTCAAATAAAACAAAACACAAACAACTTGAATCAACGAGCACCTCTCTGTCTCCACTCATCATTGTTTTATGTTTAGTAAAATAATCTAATACTAAGGCAGACAAAACCATCTTAAAAATCACCGTCACCGATTGCCCACATGTAAAATTGAACACGTACAATTGTACAGTGTATACATACCCACACTAACTTAAGTGGCATACATGTACATGTGCAGTACATGTGCGTATACTATTGTGCTAGTACATGAACAAAAACATGAAAAAGGAAGCATTATGTTAAATCTGAGTATAGCGTGACTATGCATATATATACAATGGTGAGAAGAAGCAAACAAAAGCAACTAATAATCACTAACACACAACACACATCTCTGTACACTCATGATCAATAGACTACCACTGAAATACGTCAGCTTGCAAAACAATGACCTTACTCAAGAGACAAACCAATAAATAATTAGTACACATAATTACACATTATGTACAATACTAGTACATACACATATGTGTACATACACATAATTTCAAAATTAGCAGTATCAATAGGCAGCTGCAACTACTCCAAGAGAAGGTTGCTGTTTAAATAACTACTCCACTGTGACAAGAAGTTATGCATGTTGATCAAATTAGCGGCATTAGTAAATGGGAGAGAGAGAGAGAGAGAAAGACAGAAAGGAGGGCTGATAATAAGTATTATTCTGTTAACATCAAGACTCACAGTTCAGGGTTGGGGTCAAGAACTCACTTATTTGTGATAAGCAAGTGCTAGAACCTTAAATCACAAGTACATGTACATGTAACTATACTAGATTGCCATGTACATGTACTTCACTATAATTATTATCATTTTACACCTACATGGACTATAACTTTCAGAAAATCAAGATGGCAGAGCACAAGTTCAATACCTTTCAATATATAGACAGTCAGTTTTGTCCCAAAGTAAAACCATTTGAATAGTGATACATACATTCAGATACAGGTACATATACACTATTCGTACACAATAGCTACATGTACATGTATAGCTTGCAAGATAACTGTATCTACACATGTACATGTATTATACTACACGTACATGTACATGTACATGCATTATTGTATAAATTTCCATGTAACAGGTTACATGTATATGTGTTATAATAATCAAAGTGACCTGTTATTTACTCAAATAACTAATAATGTTATAATAATAATTGACGAAGTTTACATTATTTGCTAATGTATACAACATACGAGTTTAAAATAATATAATGTCAGGTTATCGAGGGTGAGAGAGAGAGAGGAAGAGAGAGAGAGACAGAGAAAGGGCATAAAAGCATTTATAATTATAAGTGAATTTAAATAATAGGCTCAAATCAAAACATGTGAAATTTAATGACAGCTTTCATAGCAATAGAGGGGAGGAATTAGAAGTAACTCAAAGCATAGCCATTGATATTTTACTATAAGAGGGAACACTGAAGTAAAAGGATGAATGATGAAGTTGTCATCATAACAAGGAGACATGTCATTAAAGTGGAACACTTTCAGTAAATACAAGGTGTTTGATAAACACAGAGAGAGAGAGTGTGTGAGAGAGAAAGAAAGGAGATATAGCCATTCCCAATACATACCCAAACACTTTTAAACAATAACAAGTGCATGTATATAGAGAATAAAAGATGGCGGATGCTATAGATATGATTACGTGTGTGTGTGTGTGTGTGTGCATTATCTCATTGTAAGATATGAAGCTGCATAACATCAACAGACACATGTGTCTATATGTACACACAGGCACAGCTCTTTCATAAAACATAAAGAGAGACAGCCACTTTATAAACAAATACTAATAGCTAATACACAATGGCATGACACTAAGAGTTCAATAGCAATAACGACTTAGTATTTTTTTACCTCCGTAAATTTCCTCTCTCTCGAAACCTAGCTTCTTTTTTATATCGACTAATCTAACCAACCCTTCCTTCCCTTGCTGGTCCTGTTGTTCTTCAGACATCACGAGGTATTATTACAAAAATAATAATAAGAGAAGTGATAGTATATCACAGACACTTCTGGTGACAGGACTCAAGTAAACAGAGAGAAAGACTAAGCAACGGATGGTACTATCTCCTTGAAGTAGAATAGCAACTCCCAAGAGAGGACGGACCCGGCTAGGTAGTCTCCAGCTTATAGTACTATAGGCAAGTCTCTTTGAACAAGTGTTGTCTCTCTGTACTTATTTATAAGCTCCTTTGGTACGCACCAGAAAGAATGCAAGGAATCGCGTTCCAACTAACTAACTAACTATTCATAATATTAACAACAGCATACCTTAGATAATAAATAGCACGAGTGGAGGCTTCGCAGGCAATAGACGTAGACCTTTTTACTTTCACTACAGAAAACTGTACCACCTTTCCCTGGTTGGGCTGCAATGATCCGTAGACTGACTGTATACTTCCGGATCCGATTTACAACATTCATAACATTCATAAGGATATTCATCGCATCCAACTTCAACAAAAAATTTGGCAGCAATAAAATCATTTTATTTGACACAATGCAAACAGACTGAAGCAATATTCATGTAATAATTGTAATCACACTCTTGTTTGCTCAAGAAACGGAAAAGTGAAGAGGAGAAAAAGAGACTGAGAAATGAAGTCATAATTACAGTTGCAATACCTCATTACAGACAACAAATATCAATTAGTGACTGATATATTTACATTCCATGAGCAACATTTAGTAGTAATATTAGTTTAATGTGGCTTCGATTTTCCCAGATTAATGTACCATAACGTCAATATTGGTATCTTGTGAATTAAGCTGATGGTGTTAGATCAAACAGAGAATTATTATGTATCGGGAATATAAATGAAGTGATTTCAAAGCCAATCCTTGAAAAGTATAATGCCATAGCTTATGTCTTGGTCCTCTTGGATTCAAAAACAGAACCCAATTTGATGCTGTGTAGAAGTTTTCAATGATAACAAATTTTCAAGTAATTGACGTTGGCAAAAATACTATTTACATAGGCACTCATGATGCCTTGAACTATCATAGTCCTTTCTTGGGTCTAGTCACTCTAGTGGCTTTCTTCTGCGCTCCAAGAAGGCAGCATGGTTTCACGTGTCTGTGGGCGGAGAAAGTTTTTAGCCACACCCCACAGTCAATGTAATACCGTATATCCTTAATTTACTGAGACTAAAGTTTAAAATTTATATAATCACTATTAATCAGTTAATTCACAGCAGCCAAAATCATCTGTAGTGACTAGTGAGAGAAGGGAGTTGGTTGACACTAATTGGTAAAATAGAATTAAAATTAAATTACTGTACATTAAATACAAAACAAGTTCATTGTTAAGGCTAAGGGAAAATCACGCTATAATAGTAGAACACAGTTAATAATGTAATAATAATAATAATAATAATAATAATAATAATAATAATAATAATAATAATGA